AACAAAAGTTCTTCACGAGGGTGCCCAGAGTAGCAGAATCGACATGGTCTTCGATACTTACCGAGATATCTCAATCAAGAATGCAGAGAGAGCCATGAATTAATCGGCACTCCTCCACCTACACCAACCACAGTTGACAATTCAGAGAGATCCAGCCATGTCGATATCGATTATTGGTCGTGTAAAAGTACAATATGAGAAGTAGCGGAACTTCAAATAGGCCCAATAACCAAAAGAAAATTAGTGTTGAAGAAAAGTAACAAAATCATCGAATCACTTAAAGAGTCAGTAAGTCCAGATTCATTTGGTAGTTTCATGGGACACAGTCTTCTCTATGATGCAGAGCAAGCATTGCAATTTCTAAGTAAAGAATTATCTGAAGCCATGGAAATCTCGGCCAAGAAGTACGACCCTCACAAGAGCCTGGTAAAACTTGTTGGTGAAGATGTAATGGCAAAGCAAACCATTACTTTAAGAGTTCCGGACTGGGTTCAGCTTCTTGTAAAAATTAAGACCAAGCTCCCAGATGATTGTTGGCAAACTATACTAAATTACTTGAATCTTGGCAGGAGTGGGGTTAGTATTTTTTATGAATTATTAGCTTAAAAATAACAACTAATGTTATTACTTTAATGTTGTCCCTAACTTAATCCACACTGTACATTATTCATTCTTCTTTTCTTTCTATTGACAATTCAATAATCTATTTACACTTGTGTGTCATTTATTTTGTTTTATTATCCATTCATGCATCCATTTCCTTACTAGTTTTCCTGACTAGTTACAATCACTTTCTTCTGTTCTTCATCTATGCAGTCATAAGCGCACTCATATTCATTGGTCAGTACTAATTCTCCACAATATTTTCTTCAAGAAATCAAGTGATGCTCAGTTGCTGCTTTCAAAGAACATGGTAAAGGCACAGAAGGAAATGATATTTGCAGTTGTGAAAAATGCAGTTGGCGTAGAGCCCCTTCCAGATGGCCTCTCTGGTCACTGTACTTCCCTTCCAGGTGTCCTCATATGGGCAATAAGAGAGGCCAGGCTGCGACAATGTTAAAAACAAAAACTTGTTTTCAACTTAAAACTGGATGGCAGACCACTTTTTGGTATGGTGTTATATATGGCTTTATTGGATGTTACATGAAAAGATGTCAGAATCTTTGCCTATCTACTTAACACTACATCATAACAGGCTAGCTATATCTCAGGCCTCAATTATTTTCTAAACAAGTTTAATAGGTAAAGATCAAGTTTCGGTTGGAATTGTGCCAGTTGACTGCAATTTCCAAAGTTCTGAAAGTGCAGAAGCAGTTTATCCTCTTGCAATTGCAAATTGCAAAGAGGATAGATAAGTGAAAATCGTAAGTCTTTTAATTATAATTATTTATCATGAATTTGTTAATGAGTGTAAGACTGTATTATTACTCAGCCTACTGACCATTGGTATTCCATCTTAGAAGCCACAATTAATCATTCCTAATAGAAATTTCCCAATTATGTTTTTATGATTCAAAATGTAGTTTTAAAAGCTCATGTAATTCTTAATAAAAAATCTCTTTATTATATTCTTAAAGGGTCAATTTGAAAGCACTGATAAAAAAACTCAACCATGAAAGGCAGGTCATCAAACAACACGGTTTGACAATGGATGGAGAAACCTATGATATCAAATTTGTAGGTACTGAAAAAATAATAACTGAATATATGTAGCTATGCCAATTTCTTTATTCACATGTTTTTTATTAATACCAATTATCATTTTTTATAGTTACCCTTGACTACAAGGCATTGCTTTTGCTGATAGTAAAAAAAAAATGATGAAAAGTTCATGCTTGGGGGAAAGGGCCTTGATGTGGAGTTTTGCATTTTCTGTGAAGCTGTTAGAGTAAGGATTATCAATATCTTATAAGAATGGAAGCTATAGAATACAGTGCAAATCAAAAATATATGACAAATGTTTCTTAGACTGTTGTTATCTGTGGTCATCATTTCTCAGATAGGCCAGAGAACAATTGATAGAGCATTCTCAAAATATGGCTGTGCCCTCATTTTCTTGATTTGCCAATTTGCCAATTTGCAATGTAAATTGAGTTGGTTTTACAAACATTGATTGATTTCATCTTATCAATTCTAGGTATGTTGTCATCATTTAGGAGATAGGTTTAAAGAGACATGCCTAAGCTGCCTGCAGTCTAAGGCTAATATTGGAAAGTAAGTTCATTTTTAATTCGATTGGGTGTTATTAAACAGATGCAATAATATTATATGGATAGATGAGTGGATACTTAAGGCACAAAATAGAGCTTACTGAATGTGTAGCAATGTTTTCAAATTTCAGGCCATGTGTCTTTCTTTTGAGGATGAGATTCTTTTGTCTGCATGTAATGTATCAATATCTAATATTTGGGTTAACGTAAACATTTTATCTACAGGTGGCATGGTATTAGAGATGACCTATCCTTTCTCTTGGAGGAAGAACTCTGTAACATATAGCTATGCTCATTGCACCAAGAGATGCGAAACGCAGAGCAGCTTATTGGTTCCCTTGGGCTCTTTGCCAACTCTATTGGATGTCTTGAAGAAGGCAATACTGCTTTAGCGACATATGGCCCAGAAAACAGAAAGGAATTTGATCGCATTCAAATAAAATCACAACCAGGCCAAACTACTGAGATTTCAAAGGCTAATATAAGGGTCTCTTCCATGTCAGGTATTACAGTATAGAGGGATTTCAAGGTAGCCATGTTTGCGGACAAAACAAAAGAATGTTTTTTTCCTTTAGGAAATAAGATAATTCTCTTGTCATGCAAAATATTGCATTGTTCCTTAGCACAAACATAGCTGCTGTGTCTTTTTGGTGGAGCATCCCAGTATAGTCTATTATAAAGAGTCTCCCCTCCCTAGCTCTGGGCTGCCGTAAAACCCCTCAATCTATTACTACAAAATTCTACATGGATTCATTGGATAGTCCAGCTCATAGTCAAATTTTGCTCTTAAGGACCAACAGAAAGGCAAGTTCTGGCAAATGCTGAGTTTATTATTGCAGAATCCCTTCCCATCGAGAGTGTTAGCAACTTCTACAAACAGTTTGATCAGGCTGCAAGAAACACAGTCCTTTCTTATGTTCAATTCTAAGAAAACCAGAAAATGGTAAGTGAATTTTTAACTCAGACTTCTTTTAAATAATGTTTAAATAATGTTTAAATGGTGGCTATATATGATGGCACTAGCTGTCAGCATGCATGCATGTAATGATGTTTCTCTATTGTATATCCTATTTTCTTATAGTTTCTTGAAGGAATCCTGAAAAAAGAACAATACATGAGGGATTATGGCACAAGAACTGAACATGTAGAGCTCACTGAAACCAAAGGTTAGAATTTGAAGTAGCAAAAAATAGTTATTAATTTGACATTTTATTTTAACTTAATGCGTGGAAATCATTTATTTTTTACTTAATTAGTTCTCAAGTTATTGATTGAGAAAAAATTGGAGGAGACTACTAAGAGACAAACCAAAATTGAGGAGAAATTTGTACAATGGTCCATTAAATAAGTTTTCGTTTGAATAATAGGCTCTAGAAGCAAGGACAAAGTTTAGGCTTTGGGGGCCCTTTTTTCTGCCAGTTTATCGTTCAACTTCTTCTTTGTCTTATAAATTGAATAAAGATCTGTATTCCTTTGCCTAAGAGGTTCTTAAAACTATGTACTGATATTGATAAAGCAGTAGAAGGGCTAGATGTTGCTTTGGCTGTTTTATTTCTTCAATTCTACGACCGAAGAGCAGGAGATGAATAAATTAAAACACGATAGATACCCAAATAAGCTAGTGCTTGATAAGTCATTCTCATCGTTTTGTAAATGAACAGCGAAATATATTTGTAATAAGTTGATAATAGCTATGTGAATAATGTATGCGATATATTTGCAGGATATCAAGTTTGTTTTAAATGGATTTAGTTTAATTTATCTACAGAAGTTGTTGTTACCAAGCGAGACATTTGTAGATTTCGCGCGCGTTCGTGTTCATCATGCATTAATGTGTTCGTGCTGTTTAAATAGATAAATAAAGCGGCCTCGTAACATGCTTAATTTCTTAAATTTTATACAATTTTAAAATTAGAAATGGTCATTTAGGAGTATTAAATTAATTAGAACGTTTTTTAAAAAAAACTGCGATGTATTTGTTTGTGTTTTAGATTGTAATATCAATAAGCGGATGTTATAGAAAATTTTGTATGGAGAGCGAAAGTGTAAAAGAGAGCCGCTTGGAATTATTCCTCGACGCTATGAATGATGTGGAAGAAAATAAATTGAGCATAAGGAAAGCAGCCAAAATATGGGGTGTTAACAGGCAAACACTAGCCGATCGTATAAATGGAAAAGTAAAACTTGAAAGGCGCAGGGGTCCCCCTTCAGCGTTGGCAAAAACTGAAGAGAACCTTTTGGCRGAATGGTTGATTGAACTGTCAAACCGTGGCTTTGGAATGTCTAAGCAAGGGTTCCTTCTATCAGTCAAGCAATTTTTGGATAAGGACGGTAGAGCTACTCCATTCAAAGATAATATGCCCGGGCGTAGGTGGTACAGAAGCTTTCTTAGCCGTAACCCCAAAGTGAAGCTCCRCAAGGCACGCCCTCTTGAGAAAAAACGAGCGAGAATCACAAAGGAGGATGTTAATGGCTGGTTTGATGAGTTCGAAATGTTTTTGACAGAGAAAGGGCTTACAGATTCCCCAGCGCATCTRTGGAATTGTGATGAGACTGGTTTTGATTTGCAAGGGCGTACTGGAAACGTGCTTGGACCATCAAATCAGAAAGAGGCACCGTATCAAGTAACCACAGGAAACCGTGAGCGCATAACCATGCTGCCTTGCTTTAACGCGTGGCCAGTGGATGACACCGTATTTTATCTTCCCAGGGAAGAGGATACCTGTGACTTAGAATCCTCTTGAGGGAGGGGTCCAAGGAAGTGTTTTTTCTGTCACACCATCCCGTTACATGGACACTTCAACCTTTTATATGTGGCTTGCAAATCACTTTATACCCAATCTGCCACCAGCAAGACCCGTTGTGTTGCTTATCGATAGCCACGATTCACATTTAGATCTGGAAACGTTTCAGTTAGCAGAACAAAATGGTGTTCATATTTATGCTCTTTTAAAGAACACGACACATATGTTGCAACCAGCTGACGTAAGTCTCTTCGGCCCAATGAAGAAAAGCTGGTATAACTCACTCAGGCGTTTTAACCAAGCAAATCCGAATGCCGACATCAATAAGAAAAACTTTTGTGCTGTGTTTAAACCTACTTGGGAAGAGGTTATGATTCCAACTATTCTGAGYGGTGCTTTTCGAAAATCGGGTATATACCCTTTGGAYAGAGSCCAGGTATCAAAGAGTSTACTCGCTGCGACGAACACTCTYGGAGAAGCTAATTCAGCGCCWGCCGCTAATGAAAGTGCRACACATGCAGCGTTTAAGGAATTAGATGGAGTGCTGGCAACGCCCACTCGAGACAAGTACCSCYGTYGGGTTGAAGAGAATTATGATATCGAAAGCAGCCCGACTTTTAACGCCTGGCAAAAGCTTTATCGTAAGGCTTTTCCTGACAACTCTAGTATCARTCTCTCTAAGGCCAGCACYTCGACGACAGAAAAGCCAAAGGAAAGGATGGCCTTATGTTCTGTGCCTTCTCAACCACTGAGCGATTCCAGATCAGGAACGTTGCTGAAAGAAATCCTGACATACCCTACCTTAGAAGCAAAAGGCCCTCCAAAAAGAAAGAATATAAAGCGAACTATTCCAAATTTCGTCAGCGGGCCCGCGTCAAGGCAGATCCTTTTGGATGAGAAACTAAAGAAAGCGCGCGAGCTAGCAGACAAGCAGAAAAAGTTCCAAGAACGGGAAGAAATGAAGGAAGAAAGAAGGAAGAGAGCGGAAGAAGATAAAGCTCGAAAAGAAAAAACAAAACGAGAAATTCAGGAAAAGAAGAGAAAGGACAAAGAAAACAAAAGACCAAGGAAGCAATGAGAATTGAGGAAAAAACTTTTTCAAACAATTTTCAAACGATTTCGAGTCATCGTTAGAGAACGTTTCTCTTGAAAGCAAATATCATCATAGGTTGCAATTAAAGTTTGCCAATCCATGAAGCACAAATTAAGAACCTCACAAGATAAACCTGTCAAATGCCTAAAAGAGACATAAACATAATACCTTATTATTTTCATGAAATAATCGCAACGCATTTCGTGATTTGAAGATGAGCATATTGCGCGCGCGGCTGTTTAATTTTGCTATTGAACATCTTAAATCACTTAAATGTTGCGGTTTTTTTAAGTTGTTTAGAAATTCTCTTAATGAGTGCGCTAGTAGATCACTTTTTTTTGAGTCGTCACGTTAAAGCTTGGGTGCATAAGGATATGTCAACTGTTATATGTCATATTGCGTTTTATTAGTTCTGGTTGAAATTTTTTTGCTTTGCTTTTCCTATTAGAATGCATATTATCTTGATAGACAACGCAGTAATTAAAGGATATCATGAGTTCCAAATCAGACCTCCCCGGCGATGTTATTACCAGTGACGAGAGAGCTAGGAAACAAACATGACCCCAACGCATGCCTCGTTTGGGTGCCAAAACTGGACCAAATACCGGCTTCAGAATGGAATATGGTTACTGACGAGAAGCGCGGAGAGACAGTCAGGACAATTGCTGGCCTCCCTATCGGGARGGTCCCTAGGGGAATTTCTAAGTGCTTTTGGGAATTGTTAGGATCCCCTGACATCAACGATATCAACTGGTAAGCTGCAYTAATATGGACGTGAGGAGGCTATAGGGTGGTTCTTGTTAACCCRTCAAACACACTTAGAATMTACTTTCTTGTGCGGATTAATAAAAATCGCYCTTATCCTTTTATCAAAWTATTTGTTTCACATCCCTGTTTTAGAGATTGCATAYTAAAATTGGTTACTTTGGTAGATTGTTCTTTGTTTTGAGCTATCATCTCWCTRAMCTCAAGCYAAATGTAATTTGTCCTGTGAGTAGGAAGTTTTGGGTTTGAATGKCTTCTGATTATTAGCTAGGTGTATTTACTTTGTGGCAAACTCTCAACTAGGACCGCAGTCATCTCCCATTCCAATATATATAATTTCCCTGTTGCCTCCGCAGATAAGGACACAGGAGTATGATCAATAGTGTAAACTACTGATAATATGCAAMCTCTACTTTCCAGCAGGCAGATGGGCGTGCCATGTAAAAGCTTTCCCCCGTGGCCCAACCAGCATTCCCCTGGGGGAGGTGCTGTAATGCCATGCTCCTACAGAATAGAAGTCAAGAGTGGCCACCAGTATGTGTTACAGAAAGTGCGAGCAGCGGTCGCTGCTATGGATGAAAGCACCGTTCTTGAAGTGCATATGCTTTAAGCGTCGAAGTTAAAGATTATAAATAAAAGTATTGCTTATAAATTCTGWGCACGGAGTGTTGAATTAATGTATCCTGGGCYCGGTTGTTTGAARGTGGATTAGCGTTAGCCARGGGATAATTGCCATGGCAGCTWAATGGCTTTGAACAGCGGTTAAACCTCCTGAATTAWWATTAAACATGTTGACATTRTATTCATTYATATCTACAGATTGCGATAAATTAATGTTATTGATGCTTTCCTTTTTTCTTGCGATATTTTGATAGATTTAGATACGATCTACGCATTTTCTATCAGAGAGCTAACAGTTTACTTGCATAAATACTATTGATCTCATGGAATTTTCGCAAATGCTAAAGTGCGCCGTAAAATTGGCGTTATTTCTGCATGATATCTAACTTGTTTTGCAATTTTTAATGTAAGAAACTATTAAGCGTGTATTTAGAAAGTGCCTTTTTGCTATTGACATGATTTCTATTGTTTCCAAGCCAATCAGAATGCTTACATTTTCATTTGATTTCTTTCCATTTTTATGCACTTGATTTTCAAAAAAACAGAACTGCTCTCAGCCAATCAGAATCAAGAAATTTTTGCTTAAGTATTATTAATAAGGAAAGAGAGAGGAATTACTGTTTTAATATGACTGTATGTGAATATTATGACTATGAATATTATGTATTTTCAAAGCAAATTTTTGTCAAAAACATTTTATCAAATGACTAGGAGTCCAATGTTCTGGGTTCCATCCCTGGTGCTGAAAGATTGGAATTGATATAAGAACATCAATAATTATTATGTTTAAATATGTTTACCTAATTATTTACATCCCTAGTCAATTACCAAAGCAATAAGCACTTTATTAGTGTATATTGTTTTGCAACTTTCAGGTTCCCGTCACTTCAAATTTCGAGGTTGTGGATGGAAACCAAGATATCCAGTCCAGCATTGGACCACAGAAGATAAGTTCTGGATATGTCTTATGAATGGGCTGTTTAAGGAAATGTTTGGTGAGGATCACCTGGAGTATGTTTTTGTTAAAGGCAAAGGCACAAGAGTGAGTGAGCTAACAGACCCAAGAGTCCATATGTCTTACAATCATGATGTTTGGGAAGCAGGGTATGAAAGAAAAAAACAAGAAGTGAAACTCCCTCAGCCAGTTGCAATCAATATACTAAATCTCTTGCCAACAATTGCAAAGAATGATGATAGTGCCAGTGTTGATAATATGGAAAAGGAGGAGGAGGAGGAGGAGGAGGATCCTGAAGATGGTAATGGTAGCGGTGTTAGTGATGATGATTGTGGTGGTGACAGAGATGATATGTATGGTGATAATGATGATGATGACTTTACCACTAAATGTGATTCAAGCAAATATCATCCAACAGAAGTAATCGATATCGATAGTGACAGTGAAGTGGAAGATGATTTTTAATCCTGTACTGACAAACAAGAGGAAACTTGCTTTAGAGGGAATATCTCAGAATTATCTTACCATCAAATTAAGCCAGACATAACAAGAAATGAGCTAGCCCTTTCGATGACAAACCATAACATTCCAAGAGCTGATATAGCATGTATGGGAATACCGGATGTTGGTTTTCAAAGAACCCATGTCAGAGCCATTTATGGAACATTTAAAGAAACAGACCCCAGAAAGCTCAAGGAAAGGCCATGTTCTAGTGTTCTGACAAGAGCTGAAAACCTAATGAAGGGGGAAAAAGGCAAATCTCAAATTCTTACTGGTGTGAAAATTGGATCTCAGTAGCAGGGGTTTGCTAGTTCTTCAACGATACTCTTTGATATCCAGTATTCGAAAGGAAATTAAAGCAGAAGTTGGCTGGTTAGATGAGATAGATAACATTGCAGATGCTGACAAGGCAAGGATTGGTGTGCAATTATGGCACAATAGACCTACTACTATTGTCCTTAAGCATAGATCCAAGGCTATAGATGTAGAGTCCTTTTCGTACCTAGCAATGGAAAGATACATTGACAACATGGTGATAGACATGGTTTCAAGGTTTCAAGGTTTTTTTATTTCCCAGAATAAGAAGTTTATACTTTACATCACTATTTTTAAAAAATTAACTGGGAGGAGCAGAAGAAAAACAACCCAAAAGGGTTAAGAGAATATTTCTGCACCTTGAAACTATATAATACTTTCAAAGAAGGGGGAAAGAGGCAAAACTAAAATAGATTCAATACACATAAAAAGTTATATACAATAAAGTGAAGTTTGAACTAAATCAATAAATTGCATTCAATTAATAAATTGCATTCAATGCTTTCTTAGGGAACTTATGAGGCAGACAAGAAAGATACTTTGTATCTACCAACTGAATTTTGGCAGTGGATTGATTGTGATAATGATTTCCTTTATCAGAAAGTTGAGTCACTCAATGCCAACCTTCATGGTCAAAAGCTAAAGCAGATCTTAACACCAGTGCAAATGACCAATCACTGGGGGCTAGTATATGTTGATATTGAAGGCAAGACCCTGCGTTTTGATGATGGCCTTCGACTGGTACCAGGTCAGTATGTAATCAAAGGAATCAAGCACCTCCTAGATATTTTGCAAGTGATGTTGCCTGATCATCAGGAACTTTCCAGTTCCTTCTGGAATGGGGGTACTGACCATTTCAGACGTTTTGGGATGCCAAGTCAGACAGGACCAACAAGTAGTGAAGGGGCAGGAAGCTGTGTAATTTTGTCTGCAAAAGACTTCATCAACCATGGGCCAATCATAATGAATAAGTTCTCTTGGTCCTTTGCTGAAATGAAAGCCCACAGGATCCAACTCATGTTAAATATTCTAAGTTGGACTACATAGATAAAAACTAAAAAGCTATTCCTAGGGAATAAAAGGTAGTCAGCTCTGAATGGGCTGTTGTTATCTGGAAGGTATTAGGATTTTTTCAAAATTATATCATTTCTACTGCCTTCCTTGGGTAGTCAGCACTGAATGGGCTGTTGTTATCTGGAAGGTATTAGGATGTTTTCAAAATAATATCATTTCTACTGCCTTCCTTGGGTAGTCAACTCTGAATGGGCTGTTGTTATCTGGAAGGTATTAGGACTTTTTCAAAATTATATCATTTCTACTGCCTTCCTTGGGAGGTCAGCAATGAATGGGCTGTTGTTATCTGGAAGGTATTAGGATTTTTTCAAAATAATATCATTTCTACTGCCTTCCTTGGGTAGTCAGCACTGAATGGGCTGTTGTTATCTGAAAGGTATTAGGATTTTTTAGTTGTTACTAGTTGGAAATCCCGTTAAATAAAATATGAACCTGTATTTTGAATGAATATGGCAGTTATCAATTTTCACTGTCTATCATGCGTACTTTTTTTCAAATGCGTTACAGGTATATTATATACTATCAATCATTTCCTGCAGCTTCCTCAGCGTCCAATTATACGTCTAATTAAGGAGACCGGTGATTTCTTTTGTTTGAAATTATCAACGGCATTTGTCAAACATCGACCAACCCGCAAACGGCTTCATTTCCATTATAGTGTTAAAGCTCGATAATAAGCCGTCACGTGTGCTAGTGCTAGTTGAGTGTTCCGATATCTTTTTTAAAATCTCTAGCTTGCGCACAAATGGCTAGGAACAAGAGGAAAAATTTAAAAGACAAAGAGAAAATTAAAGAGATTAGAAAGGAGGCCAAGAAGAGATGGAGGGTCCGAAAGAAAAACGTAAAGCCACTACTACAGGTTGCTGGAGCAGGAAACAAGAGACAAGAGTTCAAACAGACAAACCAAGTTCCCGATCAAATGGTACCAGATGAGACTGATTCTGCTAACGTCGAAAAATTGAATGGTGTAGATAATGTCGGAGAGACCCGTCGCCCAGATCTGGAGAGAACAAGAGATGGTGGTAAATATTACGGATGAAGCTTGCCGGGGAATTGACTTAGATAACGCTAAAGACGACGAAGGGCAAGGGCAAGGGGATGACGAACACAGAACACAGTCAAAGAAATTTCGCCTTGCCAAATTATAAAAAGTACGACGTGTTTGGGTGCGGGTATGTTCGGGAGCTGCTATTTGGCCAGGTACAGAGGAATAAAGGTAGCTGTTAAAGAATACCACTGCCATCCAAACACGGATGAAAGCCACGTAAAGAAAGAGGTTCTCCACGAGGCGTCTGTGTTGTCTCGTCTTGGACACCATCGTGGACTACCGCTTTTGTTAGGAATTGGGACGCAAATTAAGCCCTATCGCCTTATTATCCAGTTTCACAGTGAAGCGAAAAAAAGTCTGACGCTCTTAAAAGCGATTAAAAAGCTGTCCATGGCAAATGAAGAATGGTTAAGTGTCATGAAAAAAGTTACTGTCGCCGTTTCTCGAGTGCACGAAGTGGGATTTCTTCACAACGACATTAAAGTGAACAATGTTGTGTTGGCGAAACGAGGGGAAGGCTACAATCCAGTATTAGTGGATTTCGGCAAAGCACGAACAATTGACAGCCCAAAATCACGGAAAATCCTTCCGCTGCCGGAACAAAGAGCCCATCTAAAGAAGTACCCATATTTTGCTCCAGAGATTCCGCGAGGCCAGGGTACGCAAAGCATAGCAAGTGACATATATTCACTTGGATATATGTTTATCCACGTTAAAGAAGTCATGAAACCAACAAGTTGTCGAGAAATCCACTTGCTGACTTTTAATCTTAAAATGGCTGTGCACGACATTCCGTCTCGTCGCCCTTCAATTAGAAGCATTCTCTCGGTTTTATAGTTTCATTCCTCTTCGTACGAAATTGTTCCATCATCCTTTTTGAGGCTTCCAGCGCATTTTCAAAAACTTTTATAAATTTTTGCTTTGATTCTTCTAGGTTTTTTTGAAGGACCTGTGGACCTTTTATGAACTCGAAAATATTTTAGTATTTGAAACTACAACACAGGATAATTATGCTATATCAAGAGCTAATGAAATACTAGCAATTTAAGCTCGACGTGAGACTCCGTACTTCACGCGAGCTGAACCTAATACAAATAAGCAAAACCCATTATTTAGATTTCTTTGTATTAAGTTCGGCTCGTGTAAAGTACAGCGTTTGACCCTGCCTTAAAGAATAAAAAGCAACTCATTTGAAAAGTCAGGGTGACTATTAACTGTTAGTAAAAAAAGAAGAAAAAGAATGAAAGAAAAAAAAACGAAAGATGGACTAGAAAGAAAGAAAGCAAGAGAATAAAGGATTCCTTTTTTGGTTAGCCATTTAAGCCATTATGTTTTGTTGACAACTTGTAACATCGACTAAACGATTAAACTTTATATTTAAGTCGTTAGACTTAGTTTGTTACTTTTCATGATCCGAAACAAGGTAATGAAACAACTAAACATATATATTATTTGAAACATAAGGGTTAAGCAAATGAACTATATTTAAAAGACAAAAGAAAGTCCGCTACAGTAGTCTTAGCTAATCTTTATTTCTCGTATCACACTAATAAGTACAAGCGCTGCAGTATCTACAGTCCAAGAATAGAATCAACCACTTAATTATAAATTATTGTTGTTTGTTATATGATCTGTCAACTAATTTGATACGCTAGATCGACACTTTGGCTACAAAATATCTAAAAATTAGCTTGCCATGAGAATTACTTGAATACATATTTGGCATATATCTCGCAGGTAATACAGTCCATATATTGAAACCTCCAAAGAATGCGACTGCGTAGGCTAGCATATATCCTGCAAACTATTTCAAAATAGGTCTCAGAATGTTGCGTAGAGGTTAAGGAATTTGTTAAGAAGGGCTGCAAACTATTTCAAGATAGACCTCAGAATGTCGAAATGAGGTTAACTTCTTGTTAAGAGGCAGTTGAAWATGTGTTCWTCCTCYCTTACGCATCCGCACCTCTCACATTCACACCTCCAATATTCCCTATTCGTCCATGGTACTCCCTCCAACTTATCGAACCCTGGTAAGACTCTTTTCATCTTCATAAAGTAGTCTATTYTATTCCTTAGGTAATCATCTTTGTGCTCACAACGACTCATAAGATCGCCGCATTGGTAACAATCCACCCCTTCCAAATCGTACTTCTCTGAAAGGACTTGATATGCTTCCTTATGCACTTTCTTATGCGTCTGAAGACGTTGGCGGCTGCTAAGGACCTTGTCACAGAAACCACATCGTTTTGTCTTATAACAAACTTCTTTCCTTACGTGTTGCTGTAACTTCTGAAGGGAGCTGAACTCCTTGTTACAGTTTTTGCAGGTCTTCTCAATGGGCTTCTTCGTGCAAACTCCATGGTAAACGTGGTATTGGAGTCTTTGTTTGGTGCTAAACACCTTCTTACACATCAAGCAGTTCATATATATTAACAAATATCTTAACCTCTATTTAACATCCTAAGGCACTTCTTTGAAATAGTTTGCAGCCCTTCTTAACAAATTCCTTAGCCTCTACGCAACATTCTGAGGCGCTTTTCAAAATAGTTTGCGTTCCCTTTTAACAAATTCCTTAACCTCAGCGCAACATTATTGACCCTTTTACATGGGGTAGCGCATGAAATCCTTTACGGATTCCTTGGCCCACGTTGCCATCGTTATCAAAGCGCCAAACCGTTCTGCGCGCTTTAGGCCGCACATTTCCTCATATAGCTCCTTTACGCGTTCATTCAGCTGGTTTATCTCCTCCCTTTGCATTTCGACCGTCCTCTCCAGGTCTGACTTCCTTTTGACGACGTTAACCATTGCTTTGACTGCTTCCACGGGCTCCATATATTTCAGGTAATAAATTACCTTAGTGAAAATCCCTGTGATTTTCTAAAATATAATGGAACCAAATCACATGCCTTGTAACGCTCTGATAGTAGGACCCACCGGCTGCGGAAAG